ACATATGACCATATAAGATGATGCTAAGCAAAATGAACCCCAAGATATGGACACAAGAGTTCTTTCTTCATTGTTTTTAATGTACTATATGAGTTTTTTGTTTCCTTTGTATGTTTTTCCTCCTATGGTAAATCCTCTGTTGTCACTGTACTTGATTTTGATACCCTGCATCTTGTATATACAATTATCTAATTTTGGGAAGGGAAGAAGAATAACAACACTGAAACAAGGGGAAAAATGAACTAGACAAAACTTCAGCCAAACTGATCAAGCCAAAAGAAGACCTATGTTACTAAAATACATACCATTGAAATCCAGAGATTTCTTAAGATTATTTCAAAACATTCCAACAAATTGGAAAAGCTAAAGTGGACAAATGTCTAGTTCTTTTAAAGAATTTACACTAATCTTCATCAATGTATTCAACAAAGCAGAAAGGTGAACATTTCAATACTCACCTTTACAAAGCCAGTATTATTCTTATTCGAAAACCAAATAAGGGAATGACAACAAAAATAAGCCTGAAAACTAGATCATTTTCTTGATGAATATAGATGTAAAAACTCTTCAGTGAAATACTTGCAAATTGAATTCAACATCAGATTTAAAGGATCATACATAATCTACTTGATTTTATTCAGAGGTTCAATAATACAGTATATAAATAGAATCAAGGACAAAAATCACATGGTTATCTTAATAGATTCAAGAAAAAGTCATTGTCTCAATTCAACATCCCTTCATGTTAAAAGTCCTGAAGCTACTGAAAGATCATACTTCAACTTTAATAAAGGATATGAATGACAAACCTCCAGCCAACATCATACTGAAATCAGAAACATGACAAAAGTGTCCTCTCACTCTCATTATTTTGAGTACAAATTAAGCTCTTGCAGCACATCTGAAAATACTTCTGGTACAAGAATAATTTCCATATTTCAGATTTCACCTAACTAAGCAATTGAGGCGTTGTCATGTAACTTTCAGTTGGAAGTGTTTAGATTGCATAAGTAATGGCATCCTAGGGGGAAAAAAATCAAGAGATTTATTTTTCCTTTTGTTGGTCATGGGGCTTGAACTCATTTTTGGTTTTCTGGTGGTTAGCTGTAGATAAGTCTCACAGACTTCCTGCCTGAGCTGGCTTTGAATCATAATCCTCAGATCTCTGCCTCCTGAGTACCTAGGATTACAGGCGTGAGCTACCAGCCCCACTCTGAGGGGACTATAGAGCACAAAAATGGAGAATAGAGCCTACCAAGGATCACCCAAAAGTTAATCTGTTTCTCTGTTTTAAAGGGTAATGAGTATTATTCCCTCAACATGTCAGATGTACAAAAACATGTCAGGTTGTCCTTAAATGGCACCTAAAAATAAAAAGACAAGAGGGGACTATAGAGCACAAAAATGGAGAAGAGAGCCTACCAAAGATCACCCAAAAGTTAATCTGTTTCTCTGTTTTAAAGGGTAATGAGTATTATTCCCTCAACATGTCAGGTTGTCCTTAAATGGCACCTAAAAATAAAAAGACAAGACTGACAAATTCACCAATAAATTGAAAAGCACAACAGAAAAAGAAATGAAATTCTAGAACTGAGCAATAACAATTTTATAAGCAAATGGAATTTATTGATGACAGCACAGCTGAAATGCAAAGAAACCACCTCGAACAAGGCAGAGACAAAAATATAGGAAACATGGAAGTTTAAGAGATACAGGAAAGAGATATTAAGATCTAACATTTGTGTAATTGAAAATTCAAAAAGAAAAAAAGAATGAGAAAGGCTGAGAATTTTTTTGAACTGATGAAAGCCATTCAAGCCAGATACTCCATGAATGACTTACTAGATAATAATCACTGCAAAGAGATAACATTCTGAACATAAGGACAATTTCCCAACTAAAATTCGTAACAAGAATTTGATGCTATTCTATAAAGGAATTAAAATTTGAATAGTAATAATGTATGATATTTTCCCCTAAATTGATTAGGATTTTCTGTGATGACATTATTGTTTTCTTCCTAATTATGGCTTTTCTTCCATTTTTTACATTCTAGTTAGAACTTCCCCTAGCACATTTAAGTGATAGCAGCAAATGTCTGTTTAAAAGAACAATTCTAACATCTCATCAGTATGACATTTGCCCTAGTTTTGTTCATTTTTAGATATTTTTTTATCCCTCTAATTGGTCAATGTTGTTTATCATATCAAACTTAAATAGGACTCTTTTTCATTCTTGGAATAAACCCAATTTGCACATGTATTATTTAGGAATTATGCATCTGGTTTCACAACTAAATTTGCTTATAAACTTTCCTTAGGATCCTAGGTTTGATGTAAAAGTTATATTCATTTGTATAATGTATCAGTGTTGCTGTTGTTTTTTAAATACAATCTGGTATAGCTTTTTAGTGTTCCAAATAATGCAGGGAAGGGGGGAAGTTATATTGAGCAAACAGTATTGGTTTATTGCAATGCAGCAAAAAATAAATTGTGGAGAAACATGTTACAGTTAAGAACAGGTGCTATATGACCAATAGAAGTTAAAGATCCCCATGTTGATATGTTTTATTTGGTGTGTACATTTATATTCCTTTGACATAAAACATTTCAATACTGTATAGTGACTATCACTAACATTCTAGCCTTAAATACACTTTAATTTATAAGGCACCCAATTTCTTTAGGAACTTATTTCATCTTTTCTCATTGTTTTCCCTCATCTTGTTATTTTCACATTTTATATGTATTTACTGTCAATAGCAGAGCACTAAAATGTTTCTGAAACAATGAAGTAAAACACATTGTCTAAAGCCAAGATTGTCCAATTTGAATTGTTTTCACTAATTTGACACACTTACTGGGTTGCTATAGACAAGTTTCTTTCTCAATTTCTTCCTCTGCAAAACTAATATGTTATACCTACCTTGCAGGAATGATGATAAAATATAAATAAGTTACTATATACAAATCACAAATCACTAGAAACAATACCTAATACAGTATAAGCAATACATAAATGCCAGTTATTTTTCAGCTCCTATTTGAAAATCACCATTATTTAGCAAGAAAAGTCTATACATATTTATTGTAGGCACTGATATTTTACAATTGTTCCTACCATTTTCTTTTTACTTCTGTATTGATTCCTTCTCCCATTTATTCCATCTTTATTAGTTTTTGTTTTCTTACTTTTCCCATATAATGCTTAAGAAATTTTATGCTTTCATACCCTTAGTAGTTTATACACAGTGGTAAAAGTAGAGTTAGTATCTTACCCTCTTTCCTATATAAAACCCTTTAAAGACTATATCTTTTAATGTACATGCTCTGGTTACCCAGGATTTTTATGGGTATTTTTTGAGCCTCACAAAATAGTAATTATTTTTAGTTCACATAGATATTGACTGCTTAGATTTACCTTTTTTTTGTGTGTGTGTGTGTCCAATCGTGGGGCCTGAACTCTGGGCCTGAGTGCTGTCCCTCAGCTCTTCAGCTCAAGGCTAGCACTCTACCACTTAAGCCACAGCACCACTTCTGGCTTTTTTTTTTGTTTTTGCTTATGTGGTGCTGAGGAATCGAACCCAGGGCCTCAGGCATGCAAGGCAAGCGCTCTACCACTGAGCCAACTTCCCAGCCCCAGATTTACCTTCTTGTTTACTAATTACTTCTTTCATCCTAGATCCTCCCATTTTCACAATTTCTTTTTTCCTATATGTTTTAGAAACTGGCTGATAAAAATGTAGTCAACAAACCCAGAGGTATCAATATCATATCACCCAAGAGCTATCAAAAAATACATATTTTGGAAACTCTTTATTATTTTTACTTTTGGACTACTGGGTTTGAACTCAAGGCTTCATGTTTGGAAGAAAGGTGCTATACCACTGAGGCATGCATCTAGCTGTTTTTGCTCTAGTTATTTTTGAGATAGGGTCTTACGTGTGTGTTTGTGTTTTTCCTTGACAAGGCTGAACTGTGAAAGAAGATATGAGTCTGATTTAGGTACACTGTGCATATATGGAGATGTCAAAATGAAACCACCTTGTAAAACTAATTGATGCTAATATAAAGCATGGAATAAATTAAATCTGATTCAGGAGCAACCAAAATAAGACCCGAAATATAAGGTAAAAAAAGGTTAGTGGTAGAGTACTTGTTTCTCATGCAAAAGGCCTGAGTTCAATCCTTAGCACCCAAAAGAACCCAACAAAACGAAACTAGATAATGAATTATGGCAATTTCTCAATTAAGATTCTACCTAACAATACTACATATGTATCTATGTAGTATATTCTCATATTCATTTTTTACAAACATGAATTTAAAAAAATAATAAAAATATTATCTCCTTGGACAAGTTATTTTATTTCTATTAAGCAAGAGCTAACTAGCTTAAGAATTCTATTATTTTTGAGTGTCCAGTAATCATATTTTAGTAGAATAAGAACATGATTCTTTCAAGAAAATAAAATTAATAATAAACAAGTCTATTTAAGTAATATAATGGTGTAGAAATTTGAAGCTGGGTGCTGGTGGCTTATGCCTGTAATCCTAGCTACTCAGAAGGCCAAAATCTGAGGATTGCAGTTCAAAGCCAGGCAGAAAGGTCCATGAGACTGTTATCTCCAATGAATCACAGAAAAAGCTGTAAGTGGAGTTATGGCTCAAATGATAGATTATAGATTACTAGCTTTGAACAAGTGGAGCTAGGGACAGCACCCAGGCCTGGAGTTCAAGCCTCAGGACCAGCAAAGAAAAGAAAAGAGAAAAGAAAAGAATTTGACTGAGTCTGTTATGTGAGTATACACATATATGAATTAACACATATACCTGTGTATAATGTATTCTATAGGAAAGAAAATAATAGTGGAAATACATTTAGGTAGAATGCAAAATGTATTCTAGAGAAACATAGGTGATCTATCACATATATGTATATACACAGATATATACATATGCAAACATACATATAGACATATAAAAAGTGCAAGCTCAATATATTATTGGTTAAAATTTTATTATTCAGTAATATATTAGTTTACAAACTGTGTGGCAATGGCAGCAAAACTAGCAGGAAAGAATTCAGCAACATTCAACACATTTAATAAATAAAGCTTAGTGATTCACTCACTTATAGAGGTTGAAGTAGCCTCAACCTTTCAATTCTTGGGCCTCTACCTCCTATGTACTAGGATTATATATATACACCACCATACCCAGCTCAAAAGAGCTTTGAGATCTTTCAGATAACCTATATATTGTCATTAGGTTAAAAAACTGCCAATATCACACTTTAAGTTAACCACCTTGAAAATCAATGGTTTACTGTCTTCAAAGCTGCATGATTCCAAAACATGTGGTCTTGATGGATAATGAAAAGTATTAGATTTACCATCTTGGTATTATGTTGGTTGTTCTTTGTAACAGCAAATATTTTTTTCACTAGGGTACGTATCGCCACCTTAACAACTATATCAATATTATAAATCCATTTCTGTACAGCCATCTTAATATCATTTTTATATGCTTTTGTGTGAAATAATTTACCAAACTACTCAGAGTTTTATATAAAAACTAAGTATTCCCATTATTTACTCTATCTCCGAAATCAGGTTTACAATTGGGCTCCAAAATTATTACATACTGGTAGATCATTTCTGTCATGTAGTTCTGAGGCATAAAAAAAATCTAATAGATGAGTATAAGTTTATAGTTACCAAACACTTTACACCTAAAATATGGATATAATATTGCCAAATATTCTAATTATTCAATGTATATGTCTTTCAGAGCTCATCATATTACTTTTATCTTTGATAATATTCATTTCATTTCACTTTTTCATGAAAGCAAAAGACAGATAGCTCCTTTTCCTTGGCTTTAATTAGTCTCACATTCATCCAAGAAGACAAAGTGATACTTATTCATAAAAAGTTAACACTAATATTAGGACAACTTTTTTCTTCTGGCAAATCTATGCCATGTTCATAACAATTCAATGTTTATAATACTAATCCTGAGCAAGAGTAAAAGAACAGTTTTGACTAAAGAACAAAATTCCTTCATTATTAAACAGATTTAAAATTCAACCATGGATCATAAAAATCAGTAACACTACAATTCTGACTTCTGATGTCCATGGCAAACCTGAATACTCTGAGCAAAAATAAACATGTAGTAGATAATACACAGCAATAAAAAGCATCAGAAATTGATGCACCTGGATTTTGTTAAATATAACAAAGGTTACTCAGTCCTTCATGGATAAACCTAGCTGGGATAACAGCACTGAGCAGTATATTGCAGTGAGCATAAATCCCTCAAAAAGGCCACAATGGATTCATTTTTAGATAGGTATAGACTTAAAAAAATACAAAGACATAAAAGATGCATTTGGAAATACTGTATGAATCCTGTTTTCATAAAAGCAGAAAGTTCTGGCCACTTTGGAAACTGAAATAAGTCACTTGAGAGTTTATAGTTACAGCCTCCCATCCCCTTGGAAAAATGAGAGCTCACTACCCTGCAAAGCAGCATTATCACAAAGTATTTATACACCAGTGAAGACTTTAAGGGAGGACTTTGCAACAGAGGCCAAACGAAGCCTAGATCTATCAATAATTTTGTAGTCCATTTGGTGAAAGTGCTTAGGAGTGGGAACCTGCCAGAACAGCAAGGATCCTCTCACAGTATTAAGGCTGGTCCACATGGGAATGGTCAGTTGAAAGTCAGCACAGTGAACATTAGGTAATGATTTCTGACCCTGGGAGCAGCCCTCTAGGCTGCTGTAGTATGATTCTCCTTTTATTCAAACTGTGGTTCTTCCTCTTCATCTGCTTCTTCAATGACCTGAATCTCATCTGCTTGAGGTAATGTGTTCTCCACCTGTAGTTTATCCCCCTCAACTTTACATTTTTCTTCTTCCTCTATGATTTCCTTCCATATCTTGTGGTTTTCAGAGAGGTGGTGCATTAGCTGACAAAATATTCGCCGCCTGCCTTTCCTTCTTTGTGGCTCTGTAAAATTTGAAATAGATAAATTCTAATTATAGCCATATGACTCAGTCACTCATTCAACAAATAGGTTTAAGTGCCCATTATATTGTAAGTAGGCATGTAATCACTAAGGTTATAATAGTGAATAGAAAGATTAATAAAATAATCTCTGTGCTATGGCACCCAGATTCCATCTAGACTAACAAAATTTAAGTATGTTAGATGGTACTTAGTATTACAGATAGCAAAGAGAGAAAAGGAATGGAGGTAATTGAGTGGGTGGAAGGAGGGAAGTATAATACTGAAGTTTCAGATGAAAATCAAAACAAATGAAGTTCAAAACCAAGAGAAAGAGAGGGAGAAGAAGGAGGGGGAGAGGCATGAGGACAGGAAGGGAGAAGGGGAGGGAGAGAGGAAGAAAGAAAATGAGAAAAGAGGTGGGGGAGGGAAAGGATGGTAAGGGAAAACAAAGGAGGGGTAACAATGCTCCATAGGAAATGAAAGGTAAACAAAGGAGGAGGCTGCAGTGCTTGGTAAGAAATGTACGCATTATCCTGTCCATGTAATTGTAACCCCTCTGTACAGTATGTTCACAAATTAAATTAAATTATAAAAAAAGAAATGTATTCATTATCTCAATCATGTAACCGTAACCCCTCTGTGCAATAAAAATATTTATTAAAATTTGTTTAAAAAGAAGACATTTCAAAGGCTTTTTGTGTTTTAAAGCAAATGTAATTATCAACATTCCAGTGAAAATTAATTTTTAAAACCCTGTCTTCGCAAAGTGATATTCAGGTGGCAACAGTCTAAGATTACTCATTGCTATGCTAATCCTAAATACAAAGCACATGTGTGTGAAAGGGATAGGAAATATGTTCTTTGTAGTCATCTCTGTTCTGACTTATAAAGTATATAGAAAAAATAACTAGCTAGGCATAATTTATATAATAAAATAATTTAAATATTTGATTTCATTCACAATTACAAAGGTAACATTTTTATTTTCTACTTATACTTGTTGTCTTATATAGGAAAACATGTCGCTACTGTTTAACTCAAATTCATAATTCCATAAAACTTAGTTCTCCCCTGGAAACCAAGGAATGTATTTTCCTTTGCTTCTTTACTGTTTTGATGTGTCTTCCAAGACCAAATGAAAGGCAGATTAGGTTGCTTTGAAAGTTGTGTTCCTCAACTTCCTGCAAAGTATTTGAGGAGGGGTAAGATAAAGGAGGCTAGCTAGGTCCCATCAACCTTATAGATGTGCAGAGATGGCCACAGCCCCTAGCATGAGTACACAGGTAGAGTCTGATGAAGAGCACTGGCTGAAGGACAGCATCTTTGAGAGACACAGTCATTAATTAAACAAAAGTTCTTGTGTGTGACAGCATCAGCACAATACCTAGACCACAGCATTGCTCAAAACTTGACTACTGAATCTGAACATACCCAAGATATGACTGCTGACTCTGCATCTAAGAAACAAACACTTAAGCTGGGCGCTGGTGGCTCACGCCTGTAATCCTAGCTACTCAGGAGGTTGAGATCTGAGGATCATGGTTCGAAGCCAGCCCGGGCAGAAAGTCCATGAAACTCTTATCTCCAGTAAACTACCATAAAACCGGAAGTGGCACTGTAGCTCAAGTGATAAAGCACTCGGCCTTGAGCTGAAGAGCTGAGGGACAGTGCCCAAGCCCAGAGTTCAAAGCCCCACGATCAACCAAAAAAAAAAAAAGAAAGAAACAAATAAACATTTAATCCAAGTTAAATTTTTGGCATCTGAAGTTATTAATTTTGGGCATTTGTAGTTATTAAATAAATTATCCTTACTAGGAATTAGATTGTCTCCCATGTCTTCATCATCTGTATCTAATTCTTCACCATCTTCATCATCACCACTTTCAGTGTCATCATCATCCTCTCCTTCTATCCACTGACCTGGTAGCAAACCAGCAGCATCATAGGAGTTGCATAGAGGACCCACAATGTGGGTGATAAAGGATTCTTGGAGTTTTGCTAGTTGAGGAGAAGAACGATCCATGAAGGGACTGATGGGTAGACCAAGGTTTGCTTCTTCATCTCCCTGAGAATTTTAGAGAGAAAATACAATTTAAATTGCTGAAAATCAACTATCAAAGTTTGATATTAAAATTACCTTGAGAACTGGGTACTGGTGGCTCACACAAGTACCTCAGGAGGCTGAGATCTGATGATCACATTTCAAAGCCAACCCAGGCAAGAAAGTCTATGAGACTCTAATTAAGCACCCCAAAAAGCAGAAAGTGGTGATGTAGCTCAGGTGTTAGAACACTACTCTTAAGGGAAAATGCTCAGGGACAATATCCGGGTCCTGAATTCAAGTCCCAGGACTGGAACACACATAAAAACATTATCTTGAGGTTTAAAAAAATACCCACATCAAAATAATCTTTACAAAGAAATATCAGTGAGTATGTTTTTATATGTTGCTAAATGGTATAGTGTTTGTATAGCATTCAATCTCCAGTACCATTAAAAAATGAAACCAACAAAAAAAAACTGCCGTCATAATTTCTCTACTTGATATATCCTAATTTTATTCTCCCATTCTGTCAACATACATCAATCAGTTTACAAAAAAATAGAATTTTTGGGGGGGGGAAAGGGACCCGGTCGTGGGGCCTGAACTCTGGGCCTGGGTGCTGTCGTTCAGCTCTTCAGCTCAAGGCTAGCGCTCTACCACTTGAGCCACAGTGCCATTTCCGGCTTTTTTCTTTTTGCTTATGTGGTGCTGAGGAATCGAACCCAGGGCCTCATGCATGCAAGGCAAGCATTCTACCACTGAGCCACCTTCACAGCCCCAAAAATAGAATTTTTTTCAAGTAAGTATGAGCAATTTTACTAACAACTTTCAAAATTCTATAACATTAAATATATTCTTTTAAAAAGAATGATATAATAAATACTTTTTTGTTGTTTTAATTGTACTTCAAGTTTTTACATGGCTAAACTTTGCAACTGCTTCTCAGCTCTTTCCTTTTTCTAATAACAAAACCCTTTGATGAATCTAAATGAGAAAGGCTAATATATAAAACAAATTAAAAATACAGGTACTGTGATTGAGGTGAGAATTTGGGCCTAAAGTCCAAATTGTCCTATGATGCCCTCTCATCGTTGCTTCTAGAAATTCAGTAAGCATAACTTGATAACAGATGTGGCTTAAAAACTTGCTTTTGTTACTTACAAGATGTAGTATTGAGGAACTTCTATGCCCAATATTATGTATAATTTTAAATAAACTAACAAGGTTGCTATAAGGAATAAAAGCAATATTACTTAAAAGAGAGCATTCGACAAATGGTATTACTAAAGTCTGAGCTAGTTGGAAATTAATTACACCCTACAACATATAAAATTCTGCATTGAAGCAGTATTTACTGGTTATGAGCAAATAAAATCCTACAGAAACAACAGAAAATGTCCCTAAGAAAGAAATCTTTGAAGCCAGGTGCAGGTGGCTCACACCTGTAATCCTAGCTACTCAGGAGGCTGAGATTTGAGGATGGTGGTTCAAAGCCATCCTCAGCAGGAAAGTCAGTGAGACTCTTATCTCCAATTAACCACCAATAAACCAGAAGTGGTGCTGTGGTTCAAGTGACAGAATGCTCGCCTTGAGCTGAAGAGCTCAGGGACAGCACACAGGCAGAGAGAGAGAGGAGAGAGAGGAAAGAGGAGAGAGAGAGAGAGAGAAAACTAGGATTTTTGCCAACTGATCTGATGTTTCTAGATACTCTTTTTACAGCAGAGCTGAAAATGTGGTGATAACTTCAAGGTGATGGACCTGTCTATAATCCCAGACCTCAGGAAGCTACATGCAGGTGGATCATGAATTCAACTCTAGTTTATACTATATAGTGAGACCCTGTCTCAAAAGAAAGAAAAGAGAAAAGGAAGGGAGGGAAGAAAGGAAGGAAGGAAGGAAGGAAGGAAGGAAGGAAGGAAGGAAGGAAGAGAGGGAGGGAGGGAGGGAGGGAGGGA